AACATGCAGGTTGTAGGGACTAATGAGTGGGGCTACATAAGCTACTGTTGCCGCGAAAACAATAAAAATGAGATAATCATCAAATTCCACGGCAGAATATTTCAAAAAGCTTACCGTTGAATGTAGCCTGGTTGACTCGTAGCTTGATAACGCATGGCAACATTTGGATCGCCTCTGCCGTCTGCGGCGTTCTGTGATTTTGATACTGAGTTTTGGGACTGACTGTATTGTTTTGGCTTGAAGTGCTTTTCTTTCCCCGGCCTTTTCACTCTGAAGACGAAAAAAAAAAAACAAGCGCACGGCAAAGCGCAATTTTGAAATTAAAACGCTTACTTACAAAACTTAAGTAATAAGGCTCGTAGCATTTAACTTACTTTTTCCATGGGAGGGTGAAAACCCCGCAGCATTTCTCCAGGTTGTCCAGTTCGTGTTCAGCTTCTTTCAAGTCATTGTGAATAGTGTCCATATTCTCATTTATACGGTCGAGTTGCTCTGAGCGAAAAGAAGGAAGCCAAGGTTATTAAATTAGTCGAAAGCTTGCAGCACGTAGTAAGCTTGCTTGAGCTACAGGTCTCACAACGAACTGACGACATGAGACACTTAAAATACCCCGAGCCCTAAAACGGGCTCGTTTCGTGGATGAGAAAGAAGATAATACTGGTTTTCACGAATGACAGGCGTGTCTGTAATGATTCGGAGATATCAGTTCGACCGTCGCATTCGACGATGTCCACCCCATGCTCCACAGCAAGATGGTGCAGGGACGGTCACCTACGCTGGATGATAGTGAAAGTAGACTTGCGCTGCATCTACCTCGCTCTCTCTTCCTTCACTCACCCGAGCTCGGTGTCAAGCCATAGTCAAGAAGATCGGTAAGGGGATCGGACGCGAGGTCGGCCCTCAAATGCACACCACCACACCCAGCTAGGATCCCAGTTATGTGGGAGTGCCATAAAGACCACACTATGATGGAGCCATTGCAGCCTGACTCGCGCGGTCCGAGTTGTCAGTTGGCAACCTTCCAAGCCACGGCTCTGAGCGCAGCGTGATAGCTTCAAGCACGTTAGATTGCTTATAGTGAGGAGGCAAATGCACTGAGT